CTCTGCCAGGAGTAACTCCTGAGCACTGGCAGGAGTAAGTCCTGAACTCCAAGGGTGTGATCCAACAAAACCAAATCAAAACTAAACAACTTGTAAGAATTCCCTGAAAAACAATTGTTTTTGTATTTTCGGGAAAAGAATGTGCTGGAGCGATAGCACAGCGGGTAGGGCGTTTGCCTTGCACGCAGCCAACATGGCCGACCCGAGTTCGATTCCTCCGCCCCTCTCGGAGAGCCCGGCAAGCTACCGAGAGTATTCGATATGCCAGACACAGTAACAACAAAGTCTCCAATGGAGACGTTACTGGGCCCGCTCGAGCAAATCGATGATCAACGGGAGGGCCTTTACTTTACTTTACTTTTTTTTATTAGTGAAACACCATGATGTACAATTGAAGGCTTACAAACTTTCGTGCTTGGGTTTCAGTTATACAATGATCGAGTACCCATCCTTCCACCAGTGCCCATTCTCCCACCACCAATGAACCCAGAAGCCCTCCCACCCCCTACCCCACCCCAAAAGAATGTATTATTAATCCTCACTCCTTTTCAGGAAAAACTTTTTTTTATTAGTGAAACACCATGAGGTACAGTTGTAGATTTACAAATTTTTGTGCTTGGGTTTCGATTATACAATGATCAAATACCCATCCCTCCACCAGTGCCCATTTCCCACCACCATGGATCCCAGTATCCCTCCCACACCCATCCCCCCACATCCCACCCTGCCTCGGCGGCAGGGCATTCCCTTTTGTTCTCTCTCTCCTTTTGGGTATTGTGGTCTGCAAAAGAGGCATTGAGTGGCAATCATGTTCAGTCCATAGTCTGCTTTCAGCATGCATCTCCCCTCCTGGGAGGATCCTCCAAACACCCTTTATTTGGTGCTCCTTTCTCTATCTGAGCTGCCCTTTCCCCTAGAATGCCCGGCTGGCCTCTAAACTATGGAGTAATCCTCCTGGTACTGATCTCGGCTATTCTTGGGTATTAATCTCAGGAAAACCTTTAAGGGATCCTATAATCCACTTTCTTCATCATGAGAAACATCTATAAATCAGGTCTGAATTTTATTTTTGTCATGTGGACGCTTTCCCTAAAACCTAGCAGTGAGTTAGAAGGAGAAAGGGCAACACCATAAAACAGCATAACATTACACCGATGATACTAAAACCAGGGGGAGGGGGGTAGGAGGGTGGGGTTGGGTGGGTATGCATGCATTTCAGCAAGCAATAGGTGACATTTGAAAACTTATTCTATACCAGGAACTGTTTATTCACAGTGGTTATATGTAGTCATTCGAGCATCAAAAGCCGTTATTAACATCCCATTTCTAGGGAAAAAAACTTGATCACTTGACTTTCCGTTAAACGTCGATTTGCTCGAATGGGTGCCAGTAACGTCTCCATTTGTCCCTGTCGCATGTTAGTGTAGCCCAATGGTGTCTGTTCGCTCTAGGAACATGAAGAGCCTCAAACCGATCGTTCATGATTTTGACGAAGAAGTCTGACCATCTGGTAGGTGGGCGGCCACGCGGTCTTTTGATATCCCGTGGAATCCAGTCAGTAACAGCTCTAGTCCAGCGGTCGTCTTTAAATCTCATTACGTGACCAGCCCATCTGATTTTTGACACCTTGGCAAACGAGACAGCGTCCCTCATTCTTGATCATCAACAGAGGTCGGAACTCCAAATTCTTTCTCTCATTTGAGTGAAACGTGATATTCCAAGCATAGCTCTCTCTTTCCATTCTTCTTTGGGAGACCTGAATAGCGTTCTCATCCTGTTTTCGTAGGGCCCAGGTCTCTGAGGCATATGTTAATGCAGGAAGAACAGTGGAATCAAAGAGATGTGCCCGGAGCCGGAGGTTCTTCGTCCTCTTAGCTATTTCTTCGACGTTCTTGAAGGCGTTCCAAGCCGCTCTCTTCCTCCTGCGCAGCTCGGGTGCCAGGTCATTTGTCATGTTGACCTCTCGACCTAGGTACACATAGCTGTTGCATTTGGAGATGTTGTTCCATTGAGAGCAAATGGAGCATCAGGAATGAGGCTGTTTCTCATAAACATTGTCTTCGTAAGATTCAGCTGTAGGGGGAAAAAATAGTTAAGTAACTCATCCAAAGCAACTCAGCCAGCAAATGCAGAATTGTGCAGCCAGGTGAGTAATTCCTGAGTCTATGCTTCATCTACCACTCCATCCTGGAAGCCCTCCGTAATCCCACGCAGAACAGAGTGGGAAGCAAAGTCTCTCCAGCAAATGACAGCAAAGCTGTTGACGGCTGCTAAGGCCCTTTGGTGCCACCTGCTGTTGGTTCATTGTTGGCCTGTTTCGAATACTTGGAATTCCATTTTTTTCCTCTCACTGGAATATCTCCATGCTTGTTCCTTCTTCTAGAGCAGTCGAGCAACAAGGTTGAAGTGATTCACGTCACTGAAACTAAAAAATAGGGTCCCCTCAAGTGCCTGATTGAACAAAGGAGTGAAAGGCAGAGAATGATCAGTCCAAGAGTTGTTCAGTTCCGTTGGAGTGTTGGATGCGGTCTGATGGGTGCTTGCCTCGAAGGTGGTTCCAACAACTCTGAATCGCTTTGGCTTCTCAATGACCAGAAAGTAAGAGCATCCCAGATATATAATAAAGATGGTGTTATGGGCATCATGGTTCTTTGGTTATCAGCATAAATTGGAAATTGATCTAACACCATGAAGAGATACAAGCAGCATTTGGTTTGAGAGATGGTTTGTTTTTTGTTTTGCTTTGTTTTGTTTCTTTTGGGGTTACATCCTGGGGACCATATCAGATGTCAGGGATCGAACCCAGGTCAGTCACATGCAAAACAAACACCCTCTCACTGTACTATGGCTCTGGCCCCTTGGGAATGTTTTGGTTTGATATATATCACTGTCACTGTCACTGTCCTCCCATTGTTCATCGATTTGCTCGAGCGGGCCCAGTAACGTCTCCACCATGAGACTTTGTTGTTACTGTCTTTGGCATATCAAATACTTCATGGGGAGCTTGTCAGGCTTTGCCGTGCTGGCGAAATACTCTCAGTAGCTTGCCAGGCTCTCTGAGAGGGACAGAGGAATCGAACTCGGGTCAGCCACGTTGGCCGCTTGCAAGGCAAACGCCCTACCCACTGTGCTATCACTCCAGCCTCTGATATATATATATAAAATATATATATGTATATATATAATAACCGTGATTTACAAAGTCATCGATAGTTGATTTTTAGGCATATAATATTTAATAGGCATGTAATATTTAATATAACATTTCAACATCAATCTCACCATCGGTGTCAACTTCCCTCCACCAGTGTTCCTAGATTCCCTCCCCACCCTTGAACCCACACCCCAACCCTACCTGTCAACTTGACAGGCATATCAACAAAGATCTAATGGTTGCAGCTTCAATTTCATGTTTTCAGTGCTGTTGAGCCTATGTTTTGCATATACAGCTGTACCACTCACCCACATCACGGGTATAACTGAAACCCTGGCGCCTGTTTATCCATTGCTTCCTGTTTTCTTCTTCCACCACCCTCCCCCACTTGATTTCTTTCCATCTCTGTCCTCTCATGCGTCACCGACTGCCAGCGACGGCCGGGTATGGGCCCAACGCTCCAGCGCCATCCATTTTCAGGGCTAGTTGATTCGGCTAGTTGATAGCACAGCGGTAGGGCGTTTGCCTTGCACGCAGCCAACATGGCCGACCCGAGTTCGATTCCTCCGCCCCTCTCGGAGAGCCCGGCAAGCTACCGAGAGTATCTCGCCCGCACGGCAGAGCCTGGCAAGCTCCCCGTGACTTATTCGATATGCCAAACACAGTAACAACAAAATCTCCAATGGAGACGTTACTGGGCCCGCTCGAGCAAATCGATGATCAACGGGAGGGCCTTTACTTAATTTTACTTTACTCTGTCCTCTATCTAAACACTGGGGTCGAGGGTGTTGTAGGCATCCCTTCTTTACTACAATACAGTTCCTTATCCAGAGTATTCTATATATCACTGCACTGTCTGCACTGTCCTGCACTGTCCTCCCATTGCTCATCGATTTGCTCAAGCACACCCAGTAACTTCTCCATTGTGAGATTTGTTGTTGCTGTGTTTGGCATATCGAATAAGTCACGGGGAGCTTGCCAGGCTTTGCTGTGCGGGCGAGATACTCTTGGTAGCTTGCCAGTCTCTCCGAGTGGGGTGGAGGAATTGAACTCAGGTCGGTCAAGTCGGCCGTGTGCAAGGCAAATGGCCTACCCACTGTGCTATCGCTCTATATATCACAGATAAGTGAAAGCATCCTGTGTTTGTCTACTCTGGCTTACTTCACTCAACATGATCTCTTCCAGTTCCAATCAAGTTGCAGCAAATTGCACAATTCATCGTTCCTTGCAGCTTCCTGCAGCATTTGCTAAAGCTCTTGCCCAAGCACAAGGGAGACTGTATAGAACAGTGGCTCTCGGCAGGATCTTCAAACACCTGTGGAGGGAGTTTTTAAAAAGGGAAGAGGCTTCTTTTGCAGACCACAACACCCAAAAGGAGAGAGAGAACACAGGGGATTGCCCTGCCACTGAGACAGGGGGGATGGGGGGATGGGGGTGGGAGGGATATTATCCATGGTGGTGGAAGATGGGCACTGGTGGAGGGATGGGTATCTGATCATTGTATGATTGAAACCAAAGCACAAAAAATTGTAAATCTACAACTTTAAAAAAAATAAAATAAAATAAAGGGGAAAAAAAAAAAAAGGGAAGAGGCTGGGGTCAAGCGATAGTACAGCAGGGAGGGCGTTTGCCTTGCATGTGGCCAACCTGGGTTCTGTCCCACGCACTTCCTACGGTCCCTGGAGGCCTCCAAGAGTGATCCCTGAGTGCAGAACCAGAATTAAGCCAGGCGTGGACCCAAAACAAACAAACAAAAAAAGTGACCAGGCTGAAAAGGGCAATGTAGGCCCTCTGGTGGAGGGTGTGGTATCCTGGTATTGGAACTTTGCATAAAACCATATTGTGATCCTCAGGCAGGATATTCCTTATCTGATCCTCTATTCAGAGGGCAGATAGAGCATGGCGATTGGAGTTCGCATGATTCATGATTAATGTCTCTGCGTGATTAGGGCATATCCTAGTTGTTCTTATCTGATTCTTTAAAATAAATAAATAAAACACTCTATTGTTACCAGTAAATCATGATGCCTAAAATTCTAAAAATACTGGGGCTGGAGTGATAGCACAGCGGGTAGGGCATTTGCCTTGCATGTGGCCGACCCAAGTTCAATCCCTGGCATCCCATAGGGTCGCCCAAGCACCGCCAGGAGTAATTCCTGAGTGCAGAGCCAGGAGTAATCCCTGAGCATCGCTGGGTATGACCCCAAAAGCAAAAAATAAAATAAAACAATGGGGAAAGAGGTCAGAGCGATAGTACAGCAGCCTATAGTCTTGCATTGCATACCTCCAACCCAGGTTCAATCCCCAACACCTCTGGATGATCTCACAAGCACGCCAGGGGTAAGCTTTGAAAACAGCTGGGTGTGGCCCCCAAACCAAAAATGTTTACAAGGTAAAGGTAAAGGCCCTCCCGTTGATCGTCGATTTGCTCGAGCGGGCCCAGTAACGTCTCCATTGGAGACTTTGTTGTTACTGTGTCTGGCATATCGAATACTCTCGGTAGCTTGCCAGGCTCTCCGAGAGGGGCGGAGGAATCGAACTCGGGTCGGCCATGTTGGCCGCTTGTAAGGCGAACGCCCTACCCGCTGTGCTATCACTCCAGCCCAAAAATGTTTAAATAAATAAAATTCTCAATGGTGGGGAAGTCAGTGAAGGTTCTGAAACAGAGTCCACCTTGCTCTCACTGTTCTATTTCAGCGTCTTCTGTCCCCCACTTGCATTCCCAGGGGATATGCCACTCAAGGGTGTAGCTTAGCCTTTCCCTTAGGGATGATCAACCCTTAGGGATGATGAGCAAAGGGCACTGTGTTTAGGGAAGAGGTGAGCTCCCAAATGCAGTCCTTGGGGCCGGAGAGATAATACAGCAGGTAGGGCATTTGGCTTGCACGCGGCCGGCCCAGGTTTGATCCCCGATATCCCATAGGGTTCCCCAAGCACCTCCAGAAGTAATTCCTGAGTGCAGAGCCAGGAGTAACCCCTGTGCATCACTGGGTGTGACCCAAAAAGAAAAAAAAAAAAACGCAGTCCTTACTCTATCTCATTATCCACTTAGTCTGCGTTCCTGTTGTTTTTTTTTTAAGCAAACAATTTTATTTTCCGAGTTTTGGGTCACACCAGGTTTGTGCTCAAGGCTTTCTACTGGCTCTGTGCTCAGGGTTCACTCCTGGCGATGCTCGGGGAAATCATATGGAATGCTGGGTCGGCTGCAAGCACCCTACTCACTGTATTATCACTCCGGCCCAACATCCCTGTTCTTAAGTAAGAGTCAAAAAGGTAGGGGGGAATTAAGCTTGGAATCCAGAGTTGAGACATCTGGGAGCTGGTGAGTGTAGACTAAGCATGCACATACAAGTATCCAAGGCCTGGGGTGAAGACTGAGGTTAGACCTAGTGTTACCAACATTTACTGACAGTCATGAGTACAGTGAGGCCACCAAGGGGTCCTGTCAAGCAGGTCAGCAGGTGGCCAAGAGTCCAGCAGTGGAGGGAGCCAGTGGGACAATGGGGTGCCGAGTTGAGGGTTAAGGTATTGGGTTGATTGATCGGGCTGGAGCGATAGCACAGCGGTAGGGCGTTTGCCTTGCACGCAGCCAACATGGCCGACCCGAGTTCGATTCCTCCGCCCCTCTCGGAGAGCCCGGCAAGCTACCGAGAGTATCTCGCCCGCACGGCAGAGCCTGGCAAGCTCCCCGTGACTTATTCGATATGCCAAACACAGTAACAAGTCTCACGATGGAGATGTTACTGGGCCCGCTCGAGCAAATCGATGAATAACGGGAGGACCGTGACCGATCAGATCTGTGGGACTTTCCTGTCGGCTGGGAGAGAGAAGAGCATGCTTATTAAAGGAGGGAGCCGTGAAGGACAAACGAAAGAGAGATGCTAGAGAAGCCGAAAAGGGAAGCCGGAAAGTGGAGAAACAGGGACCAGCGCTATCGTGCAGCGGGTCGGGCAGTTCTTCTGCACAGGCGATGCAGCTTGGATCCCCAGCACTCCGCATGGTCCCCCAAACCAAGCCAGAAGTGATTCCTGAGTGCGAAGCCAGGAGTAAGCCCCGAGAATCACCGAGGAGGAAGGGAAGGAGGGAGGGAGGAAGGAAAGGAGGGAGGGAGGGAGGGAGGGAGGGAGGGAGGGAGGGAGGGAGGGAGGGAGGGAGGGAGACAGGAAGGCAGGAAGGCAGGAAGGCAGGAAAGAAGGCAGGAAGGAAGGCAGGCAGGAAGGCAGGCAGGAAGGCAGGAAGGAAGGCAGGAAGGCAGGAAGGCAGGAAGGGAGGAAGGAAGGGAGGGAGGGAGGGAGGGAGGGAGGGAGGGAGGGAGGAAGGAGGGCAGGAAGGCAGGAAGGCAGGAAGGCAGGAAGGCAGGAAGGCAGGAAGGAAGGAAGGAAGGAAGGAAGGAAGGAAGGGAGGGAGGGAGGAAGAAAGGGAGGGAGGGAGGGAGGAAGGAAGGAGGGCAGGAAGGCAGGAAGGGAGGAAGGAAGGAAGGGAGGGAGGGAGGGAGGGAGGGAGGAAGGAAGGAAGGAAGGAAGGAAGGAAGGAAGGAAGGAAGGAAGGAAGAAGGGAGGAAGGGAGGGAGGGAGGGAGGGAGGGAGGCAGGAGGGCAGGAAGGCAGGAAAGGAAGGGAGGAAGAAAGGGAGGGAGGGAGGGAGGGAGGGAGGGAGGCAGGAAGGCAGGAAGGCAGGAAGGCAGGAAGGCAGGAAGGAAGGCAGGAAGGAAGGAAGGAAGGAAGGAAGGAAGGAAGGAAGGAAGGAAGGAAGGAGGAGGGAGGGAAGGAGGGAGGGAGGGAAGAGGGAGGGAGAGAGAGGAGAGAGAGAGAGAAAGAGAGAGAGAGAGAGAGAGAGAGAGAGAGAGAGAGAGAGAGAGAGAGAGAGAGGAGAGAAGTCCTAATTGCCAGCTACATGGGGCAGTAGAAAGGACCCAACAGATGCACGTGGGGAGTTTCTAGGCAGCCCGAAAGAATGCTTAGAGCTCTGCGGCTGGAATGATAGTACAGCTATGCCAGTACTCCTGGCCGTGCACTCAGGATAGTTCAGCGATAATACAGCTATCGCTGTATGTAGGTAGGGCGTTTGGATCCCGGTTGGATCCCCGGCATCCAGTGCAGAGACAATAATAACCCCTGTGCATCACTGGGTGTGACCCAAAAAGAAAAAAAAATGCTTAGCGCTCTCATGAGCTCTGATGAGGCTCCGCTGCAAGGTCACCTGCTGGAAGCAAAGAGAGGAAGTTGCCAGTGGAGCCCCCACTAAGTAGTCCCTAATGCCAAGACCCAGAATGACGCCTGAGAGAGAATAACCGCGGAGCTGGCTCAAGGCTCTACAGAAAGTACAGGACGGGCCATGAGAGGGAACTGTTGGGCCAGCGCAATAGCACAGCGCTTGCCTTACACAACCCAGGCTTGATCCTCGGCATCCCTTATGGTCCCCCGAGCACTGCTAGGAGTGATCCCTGAGTATAGGGCCAGGAGGAACCCCTGAAGCTAAACCACCTTCCAACCCATGCAAAAAAAAGGGGGGGGATTGCAATCCAATTGGAGAGTACAGGGTCTCACTTTGGCCATCCTTTTCAGTCCTTGGGACCACCAGGAGTCAACCCAACAACAGAACTAGAAGTAGCCACCAAACACTGCAGCATGTGGCCACCCCGCCAAAAAACTAAGGAGACAATTTTAAAAAGGTGCCTGATTGGATCCAGACAAAGCACAGAAAAAAAATTGCCTAAATAAACAGGACACAGAGATTTTTTTAGGACAGTGATGAATCATAGCAGACCGATGACTATCTCATCCAAACCCACAGAACTAAACTGTGCCATTCTGTCACCTGCAGGCATGGTGGGGACACAGAGAGAAGAGCAAGTAAGGAACTTGCTTGGGATGCAGTTGACCTGGCTTTGATCCCTGGCACCACGTATGGTCCCGAAACACCAGTGGTGATCCCTGAGCTCAGAGCCAGGAGTAAGCCCTGAGCACCGTTGGGCGTGGCCCCCTCCCGCCACCACCACCAAAAACAAAAAAACAACCCTCTAAGCATGATGACGGAATGTCAGTGTATACTGATCTTTAGTTCAAAGACCAAATAAATGACTTCTAAAGGGTTTTGCTGATGGGGGTGGAGGCAGCAGCTAGAAACAACCCCTCTCAATTTTGCTATAAATCCAAAATCATTCTAATTTTTGAAGGACTTTTTTTTTGCTTTGGGGTCACACCCGGCGATGCACAGGGGTTCCTCCTGGCTCTGCACTCAGGGATTATTCCTGGCGGTGCTCAGGGAACCCTATGGGACGCTGGGGATCAAACCCGGGTTGGCCACGTGCAAAGCAAACACCCTACCTGCTGTGCTATCACCCCAGCCCCAATATTTGAAGTTTTTTAAACACTCAATGCAAAAAGGGAATTAAAGAAAGCATGGTGGAGTCTCAAGGAGGGTAGGCCTATTCAAGCATCTGGTCAAGAGCCAGCCTGGCACGGCCACCGCCCATGTGATGGCGCTGATGGTTACTCAACCCGAGTTTGCCATTAGTCACCTGTGAGGAAAGGTGCACAATGCTTGTTTCTCCTGCTCAACTGTTAACTGCGGTGACACAGAAATTTTGCCCATCTTACGGCGTCCACCACACCCAAGATGCTCCATTTTTGAGCAGATGCACGGAACCCAGGCCACCGATATGAATTCTCCGAGAGAATCATCTGGGCCAACCCCCCAACCTCCCACCCCACCCCCCTGACATCATCACACCTGGCACGACTCAAAACTTGCAGTCAAGCCTCCAGTTACTCTTCATACAAATAGTTTACCGTTTTATTTTTTTTTAAATCATTTACATATATTCATACAAAGAAAAAATAAATTTCAGATGGAACTTGGGACCATGGTAGTCTCTCAAAAAACAAAACAAAACAATCTCTCTGATCGCTCGCTATGGAAGACAAGGCAAGAGGTTTCGCAGTCATGTCTGGGTGGCTAGTGCAGGTCACCTCCCCACGGAGGGGACGGTTGGGAAGAATCTGAGCTGCCTCCTCATCTTCCCTCAATCTTCACCTTACGGAGGTTGTATGGGGGGGAAGCAGTATTTTCAATCCACTCCCCTAGAAACATTCCGAGAAGTGCAACAAAGGCTTATGGCAATGGTGAGCTCCCTCCTGACTAGGAGGCTGGAAGACTGCAATTCCTGAACGAATTCTCTGGAAGACGTAGCTGAAATCCTGCAGCCGCAGGCCTGGAGGAGGAAGTACGGGTGCTCTGGTGGCATCGCTGTCCCACTTGCTCTGTCCATCGACCCAAAAGCCCAGAACGGCGCCCTGGATTCGGCCCGTCGGGTCCCTTCGAGATCTAATTCGGAAATACAGATTTCCGCCTCCCGCCCCATCCCCGGTGCAACCAGACCAGTGGTACCCATGGCCCTGAGAAGGATGCGGGCTTCCCCTCAGCACCCCTGGGGCATCTGAATGCTGGCCAAGTGAGGGCCAAGGAACACCTGGCAAGGAGCCCCTCTAGCAAGGATCAGCTCTGTGGTGCCAAACCACCAGTTCCGCCCAACGGGCCACCTCCCTGTGGCTCTCGCTCTATGTACATTCATCAGAGGGGCACCCACCCCAGCACCTCCCACATACGGCTCCGGGCAGCCACGGCCATTCCGGATTCCCTGGGAAGGCAGGGGGGCAAAGGTGAACAGGACAGATGTTCGCATCGGCAGCTGACGGTGCCGTTGGGGGGGAGGGGGCCTACCCAAAAATAATAATTAAAAAAAAAAACCAGCAGCACCAAGAAAGAGCCCGATGAGCAGAGAGATCAGAGGCTGGCCGTGTCACCCTCGAATTAACCAAGGGCCCTCCGAGACCACCCGGCTCCCGGTCCTACAATTACGTAGGCGCTGGAACACAGAACCACCCACCCCTACATGGAGGCCGCCCCCCAGGGGCCGTACCGCTTGTGGTCATCAGCCCACCCCCTTGGCTGGCCCATTGGGGGAGAGGGAGTCACATCCGGCGCGGGGACCCCTCGAGGTGGACACTCACAGGGCAGCCCATCCCCCTGTCACTGGGGCAGGCCAAACAGGGACAGGAGGGCGGGCAGGTCCCGGGCATCGGCCGCCCCGTAGGCATCGCTCTGGCCTAACATCGACAGCGCCAAGCGCAGGGTGTTCCAAATATTCTCGGACATGGCGCCCCCCTCGCCCCGGGGACCCCGGCTCTTCCTCTGCATGTTCAGGGCCTCCAGGAAGTGTTCCACGGCTTCCCTGCAGGGAAGAGAGACGAGGAGAGTGAGCAGGAGGCAGGCAGGGAAAAGGAGGTTCCAGGGCACTGCAGGGAGAGTTTTGCACGCGGGAGCTCCCGTCTCCATCCCTAGGACTCCAGGCAGCACCCACACCCCCACTTCCCAAGGGACTCCCAGGCCCGGCTAGATAGGCTTCCTGCAGCCCAACAGAAAAAAAAAGATTTAACATTTTTAAACAGGAGAGGCCAGGAGCGATAGTAGAGAATAGAGCGTTGACCCTGGTTCAATGTCTGGCATCCCATAGGGTCCCCCGAGCACCGCCAAGGAGTAATTCCTGAGTGCAGAGCCAGGAGGAACCCCTGATCATCACTGGGTGTGACCCATAAAAAAAAAAAGCAAAAATAAACAAACAAAAGCAGGAAAAAGATGGGGTAAGCAGAAACACAGCTGGCACGAGGGGGCTCAGCCGGCCCGGGCTTCGCTCAGGAAGAGAGGGCCGGGATGAAAAGCGAGGGCTAAGGGCGGGGAGCCGGCATCCCTCAGTGCGGTGCCCCGCAGACGCGCTCACCGGTGGGCCCCGAGGTTGATGCAGCTGATGCCCAGGTTGTATCGGGACCGGATGTAGCCGGGCTGGAGCTCCAGGGCCCGCCGGTATGCGGCCACTGCCTCTTCACTTTGGTTCCCGTTGGCCAAGGTGGCCCCGAGTTTATTCCACAGCAAGTAGTCCTGGAACAGGGGGGACCGGTCAGGGAACACAGGCCAGGCTCCGATCCAAGGCTCCTGAGGACTCATGGCTGGTTCCCAGCCTGGTCCAGGCCCCTCCAAGGTCCAGGGGGCGGCCACACCCCAAGCACCGCCAGCCGGCCCTCCCCAGCGCCCCTCGGCTGCCACCGGCACAGGCCCATGCCCCGGAATCCCCCGACCCTGGACTCCCCCAGTGGCTCACGTTGGGCCGCACGCTGAGCGCCGCGGTGAAGCAGTCCACGGCCTTGTCATACTCCCCGCTGAGGTTGAAGAGGACGCCCAGGCCGCACTGCACGTCCGGGTCGATGGCCGAGGGGTCCAGGCGCACGGCAGCCAGGAAGAGCTCCTTCACCTCCAGGAACTGGGCGCTGGGGGGCAGCGAAACGAAAGCGACAAACGCCACATAAACGTGGAAGGCGGAGGTGGCCAGGCGGCCAATGGGTCTGCGCCCCACCACCCCTCACCCCCCACCCCTGCCCTCCAGCACCGAGCTCCCCCAAATTCATTCTGGCCTCCTGCCCTCTTGTCAGGGGAAAGGGAGAAAAGAAAAAGAAAAATCTATCACTCAGCAGTTCCCCCTAGAAATAAATCTAGTTTTACCCAGAAAGGAAGTGCATCAGCGGCTACCACCTGCTGCCCCTGGGTCACTCCATGTCCCCTCCTGGGCAGAAGGGGAGCAGCCACTTGGGGGAAAACAGCTCCAAAGTGGCCACTTTTGGACTGGAGCGACAGCACAGCGGGGAGGGCGTTTGCCTTGCACGTGGCCGGCCCGGGTTCAATCCCCGGCATCCCATAGGGTTCCCCAAACACTGCCAGGAGTAATCCCTGAGCATCACTGGGCGTGACCCAAAGACCAAAAAAAAAAAAAAAAAAAAAAAGAACTCTGGTTACAAAGCGGTCACTTTCTCTCCCCAGCCTCGAGTCTCCCAGCCTCAGCCCAGCCTCCAGGGTCACAGCTGAGCTCCTGGCTCCCCCCCCCCCCCCCGCCCCCGCCTCCCAGTTAAGCCCCCGCCACGGGCCCAGCATCCCCCGGGACTCACTCAGTGAACAGGGAGCCCAGGATGCGCTTGCTGGGGCCCAGGCCCGCCCCGCCGGCCCCTTCCTCTCCCGGCACCAGGTGGGCGTAGGCGGGGGTGTAGCGCAGCCAGTCCCGAAGGGTCTCACACGCCTGGCGCTGCAGGGACTCGTTGGTGAAGCTGACGGCCAGCGCCATCAGGGCCGTGCGGTTATCCGGCTTCAGCTCCAGGCACCTGCGCGGACCGAGACAGATGACAGGGGCACCTCGTGGCGGAGTCCCCGGCGGTTGCCCCACCGCCGAACCCCGCACACGAAGGTCTGGGCGACTCCTCCAGGTGTGAGCTGTGATGCATGAGTCGGGGTGAAGTTTTCGCAGCCCAGGAGCCGACCAGGGTCCCACATAAAACCAGACGCTGGGGCTGGAGTGATAGCACAGCGGGGAGGGCGTTTGCCTTGCACACAGCCAACCCCGGTTCGATTCCCGGCATCCCAATTGATCCCCTGAGCACTGCCAGGAGTAACTCCTGAGTGCATGAGCCAGGAGGAACCCCTGAGCATCGCCAGGTGTGACCCAAAAAAGCAAAAAAAAAAAACAGATGCTGAAGAAGGAACAGAGGGGCTGCGGCTACAGGGCAGCGACAGGGCGCTTGCCTTACACAGGGCACGGCCAAGCCAGGTTCGAGGCCCGGCTTCTCACAGGGGTTCCTGAGCACCACCAGGAGGGATGCCTGAGTGCAGAGCCAGGAGTGAGCCCTGGGCATCGCCAGGCATGGCCCCAAAACAGAAACAAACACAAGGAAGGAATGGACTCAGCTATCTCCCGCACACTCCAACTTTAGAGTTTTATCACAAGAAAACACTTGGGGTTGGAGGGGAGGGGGAGGACGGGGGAGGTGAGGACCCCCAGGTGTGGCTCAGGCAGCCCAGGGGGCCCTCCCAGGGATTCTCAGCCAACAGGGCCAATGGCGTGATGCCAGGCTCTGAGGACATGGGGGCGCTGAGAGGCTCGGGCTCACCCAGGCCACCCCAGCAGTGCTCAGGAGCCTTGAGGGATGCTCGTGGCGCTGACGATCCAATCGGGGTCAGCAAAACGCATGCCTTAACCCGTGGACAATGTCTCCCATCCCCCAAAAGATACTGATGTAAGTGGTCACAAAAAAAAAAAAACCCAAGGATCTGGGTCTGAACCCCACCCCCATCCCCACCCATCACTCTAATGGCTCTGTGTCATCCCGGGAAGCCCCTCCTGCCACGCTCCACACACTCACTTCCGCAGAGCACTGATGGCTAACAGCTCCTGTTCGTTCTCGGCCTGCGTGGTGCCCAGGTACTGCCAAGCCTAGGGAGAAGGATGGGGTCCATCACCCTGGAGCCTGGTGGCCCCATCTCTCCCCACCGCTCCACCTGCAGGCCCTGCCAGCCGGGACCCACCTCCATGTGCTTGGGGTCCTGCTGCACGGCCGCCTCGAACAGCAGCACGGCGTTGGGCAGGTCTCCCTCCCGCAGCCGCCGCAGCCCTTCCTCAAAAGGCTGAGGGTGGTCCCGCAGGGGGTTCTCCTCTTCGAACTGGTACCCCTGCCGGGAAGAGACGCCCATTGAGGAGGGAGCATCTGAGCGGCAGGAAGGCACTGGGACCACCACGGCGGGGGTGGCAAAGAGGGCGAACACTTCCAAAAGGGGAGGCCGAACCTAACGCCGGCAACTATACCAGCGGGGATGGAGTCCCCTGGGATAACGGTGATGGCCGTCGGTCTATCTGCAGCAGGGGGGTGGCACATGGCCCTCCCCTGGCCTGTAGCTGAAGGCCGGGCAGGTTAGCCTGATTCAGGGAAGAATCTATTTTTGGGCGTGGGGAACGGGAACTCCACACCCAGCAGTGCTCAGGGGCTTATTCCTAGGTCTGTGCTCTGGGGTGACTCCTGGTGGGCTCAGGGGACCCTCTGCAGTGCCAGGGATCAAAACCTGGGTGGGCTGCGTGCAAGGCAAGTGCCCTGCCCACTGGACTACCTATCGCCCCGGTCCAGGAAGCTCACTGGAGCAAGAAACCTGTATTTCATCATCCCTGACTTTGTGCCACTGGCAAGAACTCTTCTCTCCCTGAGTCGGTTCTCCTAGGCCATCCGACGACAGCCATTTCCGGTTCCCTCCCAACCGTGTGATGACGTAGACAGAAAACGCAATTCGGGGCCTGAGGCCCAGCCATGCAGAGGCTGCTCTTACCCCGTCACTGCACAAGAGTTGACTGGCTAACTAGTTCCCCACGTGCGCGCGCGCGCACACACACACACACTTAGAAATTATTCATGCTGTTCTGAAACCCACAGTGAAAGGGAAGCGAGATCACCCATCCCGACGGCAGTTGGTGCCTGGGGAAGGCTTCCGCCCAGAAGGTCCATGTTGGGGGCCCCTCCATGCTCTGGGCAAGTTCTGTCGACAGTGACCCACGTAAGGACGAAAGACAGTAAGGGGAAAACAAGAATCCTCGGTGAGCTGTCTGGCTTGGAACAAGCAGATATGCCCCTTTGGGGTCTGGAGGGACAGTACCAGGGTTAAAGCGACAACCCTGTGTTGCAGTCAACTCCAGACCCATCCCTGGCACCACAGAGGGTTCCCCGAGCACCTCCAGGAGTGATCCCTGAGCAGAGTCAGGAGTAAGCCCAGCGCACAAACAGGGTATGGCCCCAAAACAAAATCAAACAAAACAGACTTATCCAAATAAATCAGTAGTTTTGCGGGGACCCTATGTGGTGCAGGAGACTGAACCAGGTTTGGCTGTGTGCAATGCCTTCTGCTGTACTGTTAGCCCAGGCAGAAAATTCTTTCTACCTTTGCTAACAACGTCCAACAGTGACTTAAGCTAGAGTAGTTCTGTTGAAGACTTAAGGGCCACCAATCGGGACCCATAAATTTATGTGGCAATCAGAGTCAGATCCACATGGTGGCGGGGGAGAGAGGAACATAATCCATGACAATAATCCATTCAAACTCATTAAGAGCATAACATCAGTTAAAATCTGAAATACTACTAGTGAACCATAGAGCACAACGTGTTTTTTGCAGAACACTAATGAGAATGTTTCTGATAGTCTGCAGTACCCCCAAGTATTCATGATTTCAAATAAGACCCAAGAATATAAAAACAGGGCCAGAGAGATAGTACAGAGGGTAGGGGGCTTGCCTTGCACGTGGCCCACCCAGGTTCAACCCCCAGCACCCAATGTGATCCTCCAAGAACACAAGGAGTGATCTCCGAGTGTAGAGCCAGGAGTAAGCCCTAAGGACCACTGGGTAAGGTCTCGACAAAACAAACATAAAAAGTCCGTGGTTAGCATGAGAATGAATCTGGAGAAAAAACCCAGGCATGCTGGACCAGTGACTGAAAACTCCAGGCCTCAAGGAGTTGGGAATGGGCCACCTCTTCCCATCTCCCCCCCGCCCGTCAGTGTCCTGGCTGTCATGCCCACGAACTGCCTCCGGGTGCTGTTTAAGCAAATTAACAGCCATGACCCAGAGACTCACAAACGAATCCCGGAAGATAGCAGCATACCGCAGAGAGGCCTCAGGACTCCAATTATTTAAAATTTTAGAATTCCAGGAGTACGAGGCTGTGCAATATCTCATACAATTCATAACAAGCAATACAAAATAAATTATTTAGCATCTGCCTGTGGGGCTGGCTTGAGTGGTTGGTGGGAAAATTCAAAATAATGGCCCAGGACGTATTCAATATGCCAAACACAGTAACAAGTCTCAAAACGGAGACATTACTGGGCCCGCTCAAGCAAATCGATGAAAAACAGGAGGACAATGACAATGACAGGCGGAGGGAAGGTGGAATGGCAGTGGGATTGGTGTTGAAATATTGAACGTAATCAATTATTGTGAACAACTCTATGAAAATAAAATTGGAAATTGAAAAAAAAATAAAATCTGTGGTTCACAGATGAAACCTCCAGGGGATGGGCCAGCTCCCGCCCTAACAAGACCCCGGCAGCTACTCCCACACCCCAAAGCCACTGCCACGATTCCAGCCAGGCTGCCCAGCCAAGGACTCTGGGTTTCCTGCACATGTCCAAACTCTCTAGCACTGACACCAGATTGGACAGGGCAGAACACAGAAGCCAATCAATTGCTGTTGATGAAAACATCAACCCAGAAGGCTTAACTTACAACAACAGCTTTAGTAAACCCTGGTGAGATACAACAATTTTCACAAATTTTCTTCTACGGATGTATTTTTTGGTCATTCTGTTAGCCATGCGGGGGTCACAGCAATACAAAATAAATGACTGTGGGCCTGCTACGGGGTTGAGGGGTGGTTGGGAAAATGGAGACAGTGGTGGAGGGAAGGTGACAGTGGTGATGGGACTGGGGTTAGCATACTGACTACGTGATGATGTAACAAATCCGCATGAACAACTTTGTAAACCCTGACGTTTACATAAAGTAGGGAAAGAAACTGTAGGCTGTGTAGCACAGAGGCTGGGGCGCTGGCACTAGACCCACAGCTAATCTCAGTCTGATCCCCAGCACAACTAGCCCCGAGCACAGCCAGAGTCCGTCCTCAGCAGGAACAGCCCCTAGGCACTGCAGAGTGCTCTCCTGAAGCCCACCAATAAAAGTTAATCGATTCAAAAGGTAACACAGACACCCTCATCTACCAAGCACCACTCTCCCCGAAGGCGCTGACTCCTCAGTGCCCCCATCACCCTCTCCAAAACAGAACTCCCTAAAGCTGCAGTCTCTCTGGAAGGACCCTCTCACTCTACTCTGATGACTTCACTAGGGGGTCGACTAGTAAGATCCCAAGAACAAAGTCAATGACTAGCGTTTGCTCAAGGGAAAGAAAGGGACTCGGGGGCCAGAGTGATAGCACAGCGGGGAGGGAGTCACACGGCCCCGCCCCGGGTTCGATCCCCAGCAGGCCATAGGGTCCCCCAAGCACCCATCAGGAGTAATTCTTGAGTGCAGAACCAGGAGTAAACCCTGAGCATTGCTGGGTGTGACCCGAAAAGACCAAAAAGAAAGGGGCTCAAGCAAAGAGTTGCTTAAAAATGGGACTCTTCAGGGCTGGCGCAATAGAATGACGAGTAGGGTATGCTACTGTTTGCCTTGCGTGCGGCCAACCAGGGTCCCATCCCCAGCATCCCATAGGGTCCCCCTGGGTACCACTGAGGAGTGATTCCTGAGTGCAGAGCCAGGAGGAACCCCTGAGCATCGCTGGGTGTGACCCCCACACACACACACGTCCCCCTCAAAAAAGAAAAAAAAATACTTTTCAAACTCCGAGATAAAGGAGAAAACCGTCAAAGCCGGAGCTTTGCCAAGCGGGAGAAGCCCCTTCACCTTATCATAGGAAGCGGCGGCGAGGTCGTCATAGTCGGAGAGCCAGGGGTGGGTCTCGGCGTCCCGTTTCGCCATCTCCTCCAGCTCTGCCTGCAACTTGTCCCAGAAATCGACATCAGACTGCAAGGAAGGGAAGGCAGATAGGAGAGGAAGGGCCATCGTGACTGTCTGGCGCCCACCCTCTGCAGCTCGGGGGTGAGGCCCCGGTGGCAGGAAGTCTTAAGACCTGGGGCCTTCTGGAATCAGCCGAGATTCCCAAAGGCCGGGTGGTGGGCCCTAGATTCCGATTCAGCTGTCGGGGGTCAGGCTCAGGCATTTTGCATGTTTGTGACCCCGTCTGACCTGGACGCCCCAGACACGCCGAGAACTATGCCGGCCATCGTCCTGGGGGCCAAGAGACCCCCTTTTCTCGCGGGGCGTCGGCGCTAGCTGCCCTCACCTCTAAAGCGGACTTGGCACGTTCGAACTCCATGTCCAGGGTGGAGGTGTTGACCGGCCTCGTGAACTGGTCCACCCAAGCTTCCGAGGTATCCTGTGACAATGGAAGAGGGTCAGGCCACCGACAACTCTCGAGCCACTGGCCGTGAGCTGAACAGCCCCCTGGACGCCTCCCGGGACCATGCGGCAAAGGGAAGCTGGTGGGTCAGTCTCTTCCCCACCCGGGAGCCCCGGCCAGGGGCAGCGGCCAGCTCTGAGGCGGGGCTAGGAAGTGACCGCGTCCTACCTGCTGCTGGGTAAACTCTGCCGCCCACTGCTCTGCCTGAGCTCGGCCAGACCCTGCACCGGACTCCAGGGCCACCTGCCCCTCGCCAATCTGCCGCACGAATTTCAGGAACTGGGGCGGAGACACACAGAGGCCGCTTGGGAGAGGACTCCCAGGTGTGCCCGCTCGGCCCCGGCCCCGGGAGCCTGCCCTCGCCCCTGCCCCTAACCCCCTAGCCCGGGCTAGCTGCTGGCGAGGGCCGCTAAAGGCCCTGAAGAGAGGAGGATTTCTGGCTCTAACGCATGGGAGAAAGACAGATAAGGAGGAGAGAAGAGGGGAGGGAGGGGAGAGGAGAGGAGGGGAAGGGAGGGGAGCAGAGGGGAGACAAGGGAGGGAAAAGGAGGGGAGGAGAAGAGGGGAGGGAAGGAGGGGAGGGAAGGTAAGAAGAGAAGAGGGCAGGGGAAGGGAGAGGGAGAGGAGGAGAAGGGTGGGGAGAGGATAAGGAGGGGAAGGGAAAGGGAAGGAAGGGGGTTTGGAGGGGAGGGGTAAGGGTAGGAGAGGGGGAGGGAGGGGGAGGGTAAGAGAGAGGGGAGGGAAAAGGAGGGGAGAGGAGGAGAGAAGAGGGGAGAGGGGAAAAGGGGAGAGGAAGAGGAGGGGAGGGGAAAGGTGGAGAGGGTAGGGGAAAGGGAAGGTAAGGGGGAGGGGAAAAGAGGGGAGAGGAAAGGGGAGAGGGGAGGGGAGGGGGAGGGTAGGAGAGGGAGAGAAGAGGGGAGTGGGGAAGAGGAGGGGAGGGGGCAAGGAGGGGTGGGGTGAGAGTAGGAGAGCAGGAGGGGGGAGGGGAGAGGAGGGGAGGGAGTAGGGGAGGGGGAAGGGAGGGGGAGGGGAGCGGGAGGGGAGGAGAGGGAGGAGGGGACAGGAGAAGAGTAGGGCAGGGGTGAGGAGGGGTGGGGTGAGGGTAGGAGAGCAGGAGGGGGAAGGGGGGAAGGGGAGGGGAGGGGAGGGGAGGGGAGGGGAGGGGAGGGGAGGGGAGGCGAGGGGAGAGGAGGGGAGGCATGCTGCCAGGAGGCTGAGACTCCAGAGTCTGTTCTCTGTGCGGAAGGAGCAGCCCTGGGGTCTCCTCTCCTGCTCTGGAAAGGCAATGGGGAGAGAGAAGCAAGACCCCGACTTCTGCCAGGGGCAGCACAGCCGAGGAGGGGGAGGGGGGGCTGGGGGGCTCACCTCCGAGTTGGCCAATTTGGGGTCATCGACCTTGGCCACGAAGTCACTGGCCGTGCGCTGCAGATCCAGCTCGGGGTGATACTCGTCATACCTGGGCAGGGGAGGACGCGCTGTACCACAGGCGCCTGCCCCGCCCCAAGCTGCTCCCCACCCACCCTCCAGCCATCCCCCACCAGGGCCGGTCCGGAGAGTGGCGGTCCGGAGAGTGGCGCTGCCCCACTCTCTGCCGGAGAAACCACAAATCTCAGTGTTGCTCCAAGAAGGATGGGGGGGGGGGGGGGGCAAGCTCTGGACCGCCCCTTTTCTCCTCTGCCGCTCCCAGACCTCTTCCTGGCAGAGATGGAACCAGACACAGCCGGCTCCCCGTGTCAGGGAAAGGGGGTCTAGCATCAGGGAAAGTGGATGGACTTCTGGGGCCGGGGCATTACAATTCCGGGTTTATCTGAAGCACCGATTCAGAGAAAGGGGGGTAATACCAGGAGTGAAGACCCCATGGGGAAAGCGGGAGGGTGAGCTGTCTCCAGAGGGATGAGAAGGAGGAAGAGGAGGAGGAGGAGGAGGAGGAGGTGACTCACCAGCGATCGGCTCCCGCCGTCCCCTCGGGCTCCCCCAACCACAGCTTCTCCTCAGACTGCTCCAGGTATTCTTCAGCCCAGCGGGCCGGGGACACGGACAAAGGGTCTGAGGGAGCAGAGAGTTGGGGAATCACGCAGGGCTGAGCCAGGGATCACAGAGCCGACCACAGACTCCAGGGATGCCTCTTGAGACCCGGGTGAGGGAGGAAACCCAGCCCCCAGCACGGAGGGAAAGAAAACGGGTGGCCGCGCGCCCCAGAGCCAGCCCACTTCCAGAGAAGCCTGGGCAAGGTGTGGCGATCAACCTTCCACCCCAACTGCTTGAAGCACCAACGGCCTCCAGGAGGGGACACGGGCACTGCTCAAACCCGGGAGGGGGCACTTTTACTCCGGTCACTCCTGTCTCCTGAGCCCCAGCCCAGGGCGCAGTCTCAGGGCTCACCGGTCCCCACAGAAGGAGCCTCCCGTGGATCTGCTTTCACCCACCAGGAGAACCAGAGAGGCAGGGTGCTGACCAAGAACTGAGACTCTCTGGTCCCCTCTCTGCCCCCCCCCCCATATTTTCTTCTTCTTTCATATTTAAGTGAGAGAGAAAAAACAACTAACATGAAAACGTGTCGGGCTCAGGCCAACGTCAGCCTGCTGCCCTCAAACAGGAGAACCGGAGAGGGCGGGGTGCTGCCCCTCACACTCGGGCTTGGCAAGCTGTGCCCTCCAACAAGCAACGCCCAGGTCCCTCACCGTCAAGTCCCTCATGGCCCCCCCTTGGGCCCCGGCTCCCCTCCAGAGGAAGGGACCCTCCCTGGTCCATCTTCCATCACTGTGAGTTGGGTTTGAGGGTGACGTCTTTGCCTCTGAATCTAGAAACTGTCTCAGGTTCCTGGGCTGAGCTCTCTGAAGGCTTCTCTGGCTGGCAGCGGGTTGAGTCCCCGGCCTGCAGATAGGACCAGTGCCCCCTCCCCCACCTCCCCACCCCCCCACACACATACACACCCGACATCCCCAAGCATATCAAACGGTCCAGCTCTAGGACTCATCTTGAAGCAACGCCAAACCACTGAATCATCCAGTTCCATAGCTCTGGGAGCATGCAGACACAACGAGCGGCCACATCTGCAAATTTCACGGTACTGAAAGCGGAGCAGGAGCACAGGATACCAGGGAGAGTGGCATGCTGAAGAGTGACGGGAAGGGAACTGGGGACACTGGTGCTGGGAAATGTACACCGGTGGAGGGACGGCTGCTGGAACACTATATGACTGAGATCTAATCATGAACCACTCTGTAAGGGTCTATCTTTTAAAAATCTATAAAAAAATATGCATTTTTTTGAGTTGTATGTTGTTTAAGATCAGTCAGTCACTGTCACTGTCCTCCCGTTGTTCATCAATTTGCTCAAGCGGGCCCAGTAACGTCTCCATTGGAGACTGTTGTTACTGTGTTTGGCATATCGAATATGCCACGGTAGCTTGCCAGGCTCTGCCGTGCAGGCGAGATACTCTTGGTAGCGTGCTGGGCTCTCCAAGAGGGGCAGAGGAATCGAACTCGGGTCGGCCATGTTGGCTGCGTGCAAGGCAAACGCCCTACCGCTGTGCTATCACTCCAGCCCGTTTAAGATCAATGAGCGAAAAGAATAACCCAGAAGGCTCTTCTAGCAACCAAACAGCTCAGTAAATCTTCGGGCAATGACTTGAGTAACACCAGCGTTGAGATGAAACAATTTTCACAAGTTTCCTTTTACTGAACTATTTTTTTGATCATCCCATTTTCCATTTTGTTGCAAACAGCAACAGACAGTACATTATTCTGTGCCAGCTAAGGGGACAGGCTGGGGAGAAAACTCGGGACACTGGTGGAGGGAAGGTCACATGGTGGGCGAGCCTGGTGTCGGAATGCAGAGAGCCTGGAACCACTGTATCCTGAACAACCTTGTAAATTACGGTGTTTTGATAAAGCTTCCCAAAAAACTGTTTCAGAGGCTCTAGTGACAAAGGGCACTGTTGCAATACCCGAATGAATAAACACAGCCCGGCAACAGACCTCATGAGGGTGCTGGACACTTTCTCAACATCCAGGACTTTGCTCTCAGCTATTTTGAGGTCAGGAAGGAAAAAAAAAAAAAAAGAAAATGAGAGCAATTACTCAAAAGGTCCCCGAAAGGAAAAGAATGAAACGATACAGAGAAGGAAGAAGCCTGCTGGGTTCTCTCCTGTTCTACGTCCCCACTGTCTTTCACACCCGATACTCAATTGCTCCCGGCTTCCTGTCTTTGCCACCCAGCTGAAGATTTGTCCTTGTCTGTACGCAGAGACAGGCCAAAACCTCAGGAACAAGGTATAACAGAACCTTGTCCCATGGTTCATGGACTTACTTGAGCGGTCCTAGTAACAACTCCACAGTGAGACTTGTTACTGTGTCTGACATATTGAATACTCATGGGGAGCTTGCTAGACTTTGCGGTGCAGGCGAGATACTCTTGGTAGCTTGCTGGGCTCTCCGAGAGGGATGGAGGAATCGAATTCAGGTCAGCCAGGTCGGCAAATGCCCTACCTGCTGTGCTATGGCTCCAGCCCCTTGCCTAGGTAATGACAAATACTGATCTGAAAAAATAATGCCAAAATTTGTGCGTTTGTGTGTGTGTGGGGGGGGGGGGGGGGAGACTGCAAGAATTTCAGAATACAACTAATTGTAATACTGCAATTCTATTATAGGGGCTGGAGAATTGGTCCAGCTGGCTGTACACAACGCTTGGCATGTGGAAGGCCTGGGTTTGATGGCCAGCATCTCGACTCCCTAGCACGCTGTGGGTGATGCCTAAGCAATGTCAGGGTGGTCCCCAAAGACAGCAACAGTGTCTCACTAGTATAGTGAAAGACATGTTGGGAGGCTGGAGCTATGATAGTCCAGTGAGGAGGGCGTTTGCCTTGCACGCGGCCAACCGTGTTTTGATCCCCGGCATCCCAGAGGGTCCCCTGAGCACCGCCAGGAGTGATTCCTGAGTGCAGAGCCAGGAGGGACCCCTGAGCATCTCCAGGTGTGGCCCGAAAAACAAAGTCAATAGCTGAAACTTTTCTGATGAGACTCCTGTATTCTCATGAACTTCTGGCTTCCAAATCCTGCCCCACTAGCTCCACAGGGCCACATCTCCCTGTCCTCTGCCCCACCAGAGCTGGGGACATTAGCATGCTGCCCAACAAGGAGGGCCCCTGGCCGGGATGTGCAGGGCACCCGTCTCCAGGCCCCTCTGGCGCCCGACCCCTGCCCCCTGGCCCAATGCCCTCCTGACTCGCAGCTGAGGCTGGAGTGTTTGACCAACGCCGAGGCTGGCCTCGAGCGCTCCTCAAACAACAGAGCACACCCTTCCCATCAGCTGCTCCTCAACTGGAAAATCACCGGACGTTCCACCCACCAGCAGCTGACCAGAACCGAGGTGAGAAATGCCATCCGAAATAGGTGGGATTTGGGATTCGGCCACAGTAGTTACTAGGGTCAGAAGTTTCTGGCACTGCACGTGACCTTCACCATCTTCCATTTGTTTGGTTTAATTTTTTTTTTTTGAAAAATATTTATAGATACATAGGTTCATCTGCACACCTTTGAGAGGCAGGCAGCAGCTGAGATCCACAGAGGGGAAGTTTGCAACCAAGGTCAGAAGCAAGCACTTGGCCACCCAATGTCCCATTGCCAACACTTGTGTCATCTAACTCCTCACTCCATCGAGGCACCTGTACCCCAGCCCGAAAGGCATCATGCACCACCAGGAGTAATTCCTGAGTGCAGAGCCAGGAGGAACCCCTGAGCATCTCCAAGTATGACCCAAAAGAAGGGTGGGGGGGAGGGTACCAGGAGAGGCCCGAGAGATGGGACAGGGCACAAGGCACTTATCTGGCATGTGGCCGACTTCTGGTTCTGTCGTCGGCAGCAATTGGTCCCCTAAGCAGCCATCAGGAGTGACCCCCAAACACACCATCAGGTCTAGCCCAAGCCCTCCCACCCCCACCACCTCACAAAAAAACAAGGAAGGGGCTGGAGCGACAGCACAGCGGGGAGGGAGTTTGCTTTGCTCGCGGCTGACCCGGGTTCGATTCCCAGCATCCCATACGGTCCCCTGAGCACCGCCAGGAGTAACCCCTGTGCATCACCGGGTGTGACCCAAAAAGAAAAGAAAAGAAAAAAAAAAACAGGGAAAAAACCCACAAAGGGCATGTTTCCTTCCTAGAGCTGGGAAATCATGAGAGGGAGAAGTATGTGGCTACTCCTGACAGTGCTCAGGGAAGCATAGGCGATATCTGTGCGCAAGGCGAGAGTCTTGCCCCCTGCACTCTGTCGCCGGCCTCGAGTTCTCCACCGGGAGCGTGGTGGTGGTTACACAAATCGATAGAACGATAGAATCCTAATGGACACACAAACTGGGGCACAGAAAACCGGTGGCATCTATCAAGCATTAGTGATTTTGTCAATAGCCATTTCTAAGTTTCATTTTTACTCGTGACCAGCGGCGATGTCAAACTGTGGCCCTGGAGGAAGTGAGATGAAGGATACACAGACTCTTTCTACAGACTTTCATGCACCTTCCAGTAAAACAACAAAACTTAGGGCCAGAGCCATAGTACAGCGGGCAGGACATTTGCCTTTCAATGCAGCCAAACCGGGTTTGATCCCCGGCATCCCAGAGGGTCCCCTGAGCACCAACAGGAGTAATTCCTGAGTGCAGAGCCAGAAGTAACCCCTGAGCATCGCCGGGTGTGACCCAAAAAGAAAAAAAAATACAAAAAAAAATTAAAACAACAAAATCTGAGCAGGCCAGAGCGACAGTGCAGGTGATAAGGGGCTTGCCTTGTGCACTGCCAAGCCCCGTTCCAACCTGAGTTCAGGCAGGCATGATCCCTTGGCCCAGAGCCAGTAGGAAACCCTGAGCACCTCCAGAACCAAAACCAGAACCAAAATCTGAGCTTTAAGATTCCTTTTAAGCTTGACTCCACAATCCTCGTCAGAGGAATAGAAAATCAGGAATTCAAGAGTCCAACCAGCTCCTAGTCAAAATCAGCTGATCCATAAATAGCACCACCAGTCAATATACTATCAGCCACAATGCGGAGGCTAATGAAAAATGAGTTTCTAGAAAATCAATCCCTTTAGCTCCTTCTCCAAGATCTCGAGTCATTCATTTAATAAGTACCAAAAGGTCACCACGGCACAAGCAACAGGTTCCTGTGATGCGAGAGTTTTCCAAAGGCAGAGCGGTGCTCCACGGCTCAACTTCCCCTTCGAGCTCCGCCATGTCCCTGTCTGTGAAGTAGGAACAGCTCCGAATGCAAATCCCAAGAGATCGCAGAGGAAATGTAACAGGGAAGAAGGATCCAACGTGTTCTTGTAAAGCTGTTTTTTGGGTCGAAGTGATAGTCCAGTGAGTCAAGTGCTTACCTTGACCGTGGACGACCTGAGTTTCACCCCCAGCACCCTGAGCCCTGTCAGGAGTGATTCCTGAGTGCAGGATCGAGAGTAACTAAACTCTGAGCACCACTGAGTATGACCCCAGAGAAAAAAAAACTTTTAAAAGGAGTATTTTAGGGACTGGAGTTATAGCACAGTAGGTAGGGCATTTGCCTTGCATGCGGCCAACTCGGGTTCGATTCCCAGCATCCGATATGGTCCCCCAAGCACCTCCAGGAGTAACTCCTGAGTGCAGAGCCAGGAGGAACTCCTGTGCAATGCTGGGTGTAACCCAAAAAAGCAAAAAAAAAAAAAAGTATTTTAGGGCTAAGATTAAAGTACAGTGGGTAGGGCACATGCCTTGCATGCTGCCAACCCAAGTTCAATTCCTCTCACCACACATGGTCCCCCAATCTCTACCAGGAGTGATCCCTGAGTGCAGAGCCAGGAGTAAGCCCTGAGTACCCGCTGGGTATGGCCCAAAACCCAAATTCTTTTTTTTTTTTTTTAATTTATAGCACAGTGGTAGGGCGTTTGTCTTGCACACAGCCAGCCCAGCCGAGCTGGGTTCAATTCCTCTGCCCCTCTCGGAGAGTCCAGCAAGCTACCGAGAGTATCTCGGTCACACAGCAAAGCCTGGCAAGCTCCCCTGATGTATTCAATATGCCAAACACAGTAACAAGTTTCAAAATGGAGATGTTACTAGGCCCAATTGAGCAAATCAATGAACAAGGGAGGACAGTGCTACCAGTGCTTACAGATTAAAGAAGATCCTCACTGGTTGCAAGCTATTCAAATCATTGTAATGCAACAAAAATCTTATGAATTACTGTGCTCATTGAAGCAATGATCTTTTTTTCTGAGTTAGCAAAAAATAACAGAGACTCAGATATTATAATAGAAGTCTCTCCACAATGAACAGAACACTTTTAAGCCTAAGGTTGTATGAAAACTGAGATTTGGGCTGGTGGGAGGTCTTTTTTTTTTTTTTTAAATCACTTACAGCAATTTCAGATTCTCAATGACAACACAATGCTTCCACTTAAAAGAGTAAGAACATGTGCTTGAGTATCATCTCTGTTACTGTTGGAACAAAGTTACTGTTTGAGACCGGCCAGGTCTCAGTTGCCTTGTCCATAAGGCAGGAGAGGAATACCTAGCTTCTAAGTGCTTCTGTGATGATCGAAAGTGTCTGAGAATAAAATAAGGGGCTGGAGAGATAGTACAGAGGGTAGAGCGCTTGCCTGGCACTCATACCCAACTCACAAGAATGTGTGTCCTGAAGCAAAAAAACACCCAAGTACTCAAGTATTCAAAGGCTCTCTCCTTATCATACAGGAGGAACAAAAACACTAATTACCCTAGGACTCCCTGGATTAAACACAGAATACTTGTAAAGCTCTTTACACAAACACATGCTAGACGAGCTATTGGTTTTGGGCCACACCCAGCAATGCCCAGGGATTACAATGCTCAAATCTCCTGGTTCTGCACTCAGGGATCACCCCTGCCGGGCCTCAAGGGAGTCAGCAGGGTGCAAGGGATCGAACCGGGTCAACCACGTGCAAGGCAAGCATTCCCCCCTGTTCTATTTCTCCAGCCCCTCAGAAGAATTCAGGGCCAGAATTTCACAGGCCGTTTTCCTTGCTTTCTGATCAACAGTGCCACCACTCAGTCTTCAGAGATGGTGTCCACCAAGCTAGAAAGTTCTAGAACAAACACGGCTTTCCCGGTTCTCTTTTCCACTCACTCTCCCTATATGCCAGACATCTGAACTCTCCTCTCCAGTTCCAACCCAGCTTTCTGTCCCGTGTGTTTCAAATCCCTGGCATCTCGAAAGGAAATCTGCGTCAGCTTCCAACAGAAGGAAGTCAGACAGTGTGGAGTGACCAGAAGCCGAATGCCAAGAGCAACACACCAGGCTGACTGTCCCTTGGGGATGATTTTAGATTAGACCAGGGAGTCCCTCACCTGTGACTTCAGAGATGAATTCTTGAGACCAGTCAGTCTCGTTATAATCCTGAGCGACGTCCACAGCGTCTCCAGCTGCGAGAAACTCCTGGGCCCAGTTCTCAGACAAGGCCAAGTCGGCCACCCCAGGAGCTAGGGAGAGGAAGAGAGAAAGAAAGGGGAAAAACTAAGAAAGAAAAGAAATATACATTTCAGGAGCCAGAGAGATAGTACAGTAGGTAGGGTGTTTGCCAAGCACATGGCCAACCCAGGTTCAATCCCCGGCATTCCATATAGTCCCGGAAACATCACCAGGTGTGATTCCTGAGTGCAGAGCCAGGAGTAACCCCTGAGCATCCCTAGGTATGGCCCAAAACACACATACGCACGCGCGCGCGCGCGCACACACACACACACACACACACACACACACACTGAGAGAGAAATATATAATTTATTGTGTCTAAGAAATTCACAAGATTCCTCCTTCTCCTTTTGTCTCCTTCTGCAGTTCCGCTCCCCGATGCTACCTGCTGCCCGCATCTATAGAAAATGAGGGGTTGGGGGGGGGGGGGGTGACAGGTGACTCCCTCCCTCCTCTGGACCTACCTCTCTGGGGTGCCTGCCGGAAACTTGACTGTTCGATCTCCTGCATCTCGGCCAAGAGGTCATCCATCTTAAAGGTCTGCGGCGCCCGGGATACAAGTGGTACATTCTGGTCCTGGAGGAACTCGGCCACCAACTACAACGAGAAGTCAGAGGGCGAAATGAACCCACCCAGCAAGACCTGGGGCCATGGGACCAGGGCCTCCATGCAGATCAAAACACGAGGCCAGGGACAGACAGGAATGATAATACAGCAGGCAGGACACTTGCCTTGCCTGCAGCCAACCCAGGTTCAACCTCAGCACCTGGGACGCCCCCCCCCCCACCCGCCACCCCCAGTTCTAACAGGAGTGATGCCTGAGCACAGAGCTGGGAGTATGCCCTGAGCACCACAGGTGTGGCAAAAAAAAAAATCAAATAAACAAGGCAAAGAAAAATGAAGATGAGGAATATACTAAGGAAGATGAATACACTAAAACAAGAGGAAGAGGGGCTGGAGCGATAGTACAGCGGGTAGGGCGTTTGCCTTGCACGCGGCCGACCCGGGTTCGATTCCCAGCATCCCATATGGTCCCCTGAGCACCGCCAGGAGTGATTCCTGAGTGCATGAGCAAGGAGAAACCCCTGTGCATCCCCAGGTGTGAAAAAGCAAAAAAAATAAAATAAAATAAAACAAGAGGAAGAAGGCAAATCTCCTTGGGCCAGGAAAGTCAAAACAAAGTCAAACAACGGAAATTGGGAGGGGGTGGCAAGTTGGAAGCCCAAACCGGTGGGTTAAGCGACAAAGGTGACAGCGGAGGCCCAGGGGTCTACTGACCTCATCTTCGGAGGCTGATCCCAAAGGCTTTGAAACCTAGGCGGGAAAGGAAAGCAAGTCAGTACCCGGGCAAGGAGGGACACACAACTCAGTTCAATGCCCCAGTCCTGACGCCCCAGTTCTGCCCGGGGCTGGGGACCCGGGACCGGTCAGCCCAGCTCCAGCACGCAGCGCCTCTGTTCCTTCCCGGGGGAAAACGGTCGCGCTGCCATCCAGCGGGCGCTCCCCACGCGGGGCCTCTCGGGTCACTTGCACTGGCCCCAGCAGTGTCCCCCCCCCAAAGGGTCCCTCCACCCCGAGCCAAGCCGGGCTCACTCACCGCTTCGGAGGCCGGGGTGCCCGGGGGCCAGGGGCCCGGCTTCAAGCCCTCCTGCTGCAGGGCCTTGTCCTGGGTGAAGTGTCCTGCCAGCTTCATGAGCGGGTTGGCACCCCCGCATTCGGCCTCCACCAGCTCCCTCATTGCCATGGTGACCGCCAGCTCCCTGCCCAAGAGAGGAGATTTGGACCCCGGGGGTCCCCGGGCGGGCGCCAGACCCTGCCCCAGCCCAGGACCCGGGCGCGATGCAGGGCGGGCGGGCAGGCGGGCAGACGACGGTCCCCGGGGCCACCCCTACCCTGCCCCGGTGCCTCCACTCTGCCCTCTGCCCGGCGTCCGTCCGGGGGTCAGTGCCCTCCTGCCGCCTCCCCCGACCCGGGTGGATCCCGGGCCTCCCCGCCCCTGCGGTGTCAGCCTGCAGCCGCCCCCCACCCAGGGGGCCTGGGGACCACCCGGCGATGGCCAACTGGCAAGGGCCGGCGGGAACGTCGCCCGCCAGGCAGCCCCGCGCCCCATCGCCCCATCGAGGGGCAGCGAGCACCCGGGGGGGAGCCTCGGCCACTTCCTCCTCCCCGGCTCCCCGCCCCAAGTCACCTGAGCCCCTCCCCCCGCTCGGCCGCCCCGACCACCCCACCTCCCCCGCCCCGGCGCAGCTCCAGCCCCGCCCCCAGGGCCGCGAGGGCCAGTGGGGAGCAGGACGGGGGTCGGCGGCACCCCCCTACCCCGGGGCGCAGCGCTCACCGCCGCGCGCGGCTCGGCACGACCCGCCGCCGCCGCCGCCGCCGCCGCCGGGGCACCAGGTACGGGCGGGAGGGGGAGGGGAGGAGGGGGCGGGAAGGCAGGGGCGGGGCTCGGCCTTAAAGGCGCCTTGACCGCTCGCCGCGCGGCGGTTCGCAAATCCGGCGGAAGCGACTCGAAGCGGCGGGGAGTTAGGACCCGGCGACGGCGGGAGGTCACGTGCCTTGAAAGGGCCGCGCGCCTTAAAGGGGCCGTCCCGCAGCGTCGCGGGCTGGCAACGCCAAAGAAGGGAGTGAGTTCGGCTGCGCTTTCTGGAGCGTTGGCAGTTCAGGGAGGGCACCGGATCTTACGCCCAGCGCATCCTGGCGCTTTCTGAGAGGGGCTCTCGGTGACACTGGGGCACGCCATGCCCTTGCTTGATGAGCCTCGGTTTCCCGATCTGAAACGAGGTTAAACTAGTTTTCCCTAATTGCCAAATGGGAATTGAACCCGGGATCAACCTTTTCCCAGCCTTCTGGGCCTGGACCACTTCCGAATTGCCCCCTTGGCGGACAGCATCATGGTTTCCATGGAGACAGAGGCCGGAGGGGGGGGGCCGAATCTCATGCCACTTTTGCATGGGGGGAGAAAAGAAAAAAACCACTGGTGATGATGACAAATTCCGGAGTCTAAAATAGGCTGCAACGCAGCCGAGGCCCTCGAGCTCGCAATTTCCAGGGAAGGCGCCTCTCCCCTCCCTTCCTGCCGCCCCCGCCGCGGGCCAAGGTCACCGCTGCTGCGGACTTGGGAACGCACAGCCTCCTTGCAAGAAAAGATTTGCAATCACGGAATCAGCCTCGGGCCCTACCATCTGCCAGGGAACTGGGACTGGCGTCCGAGCCTCAAGGTCACGGAGGAGCAAACCCGGACACCTCCGAGACCCACGGGGCCGAGGGTGACCCGAGCCGCTGACAGCTGAGCGGGTAGTGCCAAAAGGACCGCAGCGCCTGCCCAGCCCCGGGTGCAGGAGAGGAGGCGGGTGGACAGCAGGGGGCGCCCTGGGCCAGGTGAGCTGCCGGCCTTGCTGCAGGTGTCAGAGGTGGAGCCTGCGTGAACTGCATGGGAATCAAATGCTCAATTCCCCTCCAGGAAACTGAATGGCATGAAGAAGCTGCGGGGCTTTCTCCTTGTCCCTACTCTTCCACCATCTTTCACAAGCCCTGGCTCCTCCGCCCCGTTTCTTCTGGCCTCAAATCCCAGCCCTTTGCATATCCACGTTACAAAGAAAAGTTGCAAATCCTAATCAGCTAAACCAGGCCAAGGAGGAAAGGGTGCCCCTGGGAAATGCACACTTATGGTAACTGACTGCTGCGTTTAACATGTCATCTGGTAGAAACTGTTTTGACTGCTTTTTTTTTTTTTGGTCACACCCGGCAATGCACAGGGGTTATTCCTGGCTTATTCACTCAGGAATTAATCCTGGCCGTGCTCGGGGGACCATATGGGATGCTGGGAATCGAACCTGGGTCGGCCGTGTGCAAGGCAAATGCCCTACCTGCTGTGCTATTGCTCCAGCCTTTGATTGTATTTCTTTTTTATTGTAATATATATATATCACTTAATCACTTAACTTCCCGTTAGTCGTCAATTTGCTCGAGCGGGCGCCAGTAACGTCTCCATTTGTCCCTGTCGCGTGCTAGTGTAGGCCAATGGCATCTGTTCGCTCCGGGAACATGAAGGGCCTCAAACCGATCGTTCATGATCTTGACGAAGAAGTCTGACCATCTGGTAGGTGGGCGGCCACGCGGTCTTTTGACATCCCGTGGAATCCAATCAGTAACAGCTCTAGTCCAACGGTCGTCTTTAAATCTCATTACGTGACCAGCCCATCTGATTTTCGACACCTTGGCAAATGAGACAGCATCCCTGATCCTTGATCGTCGACGGATGTCAGAACTCCGGATTCGTTCTCTCATTTGAGTGAAACGTGATATTCCAAGCATAGCTCTTTCAATTCTTCTTTGGGAGACCTGAATAGCGTTCTCATCCTGTTTGCGTAGGGCCCAGGTCTCTGAGGCATATGTTAATGCAGGAAGAACAGTGGAATCAAAGAGATGTGCCCGGAGCCGGAGGTTCTTCGTCCTCTTAGCTATTTCTTCGACGTTCTTGAAGGCGTTCCAAGCCGCTCTCTTCCTCCTGCGCAGCTCGGGTGCCAGGTCATTTGTCATGTTGACCTCTCGACCTAGGTACACATAGCTGTTGCATTCGGAGATGGTCGTTCCATTGAGAGCGAATGGGGCGTCAGGAACAAGGCTGTTTCTCATAAATATTTTCTTCGTGAGATTCAGCTGTAGTCCTACCTTTCCACACTCACGGTCAAAGTCGGCCAGCATTTGTGCCGCTTGGCTGATGTTTGGTGTTATTAAAACAATGTCATCAGCAAAGCGGAGGTGGTGTAGTTGCCAACCATCTATCTTCACTCCCATTCCTTCCCATTCCAGTCGTCGCATGATGTTCTCGAGGGTGGCACTGAAGAGTTTCGGTGAAATGGTATCACCCTGCCGCACCCCTCTCTTGACATCAACGATCACTTCTTTGTAGAATGGTGAGATCCTGGTAGTGAATCCGCAATACAGCTCACGGAGGATCCTGATGTATTGGGCTTGAATGCCCTGATTGGCTAGGGCTTCAATGACCGCTTCCGTCTCAACAGAATCAAAGGCCTTCTTTAAATCAATGAACGTTAAACAGAGCGGCATCTTGAACTCCCGAGAAACCTCAATGAGCTTGGTTATCGTGTGGATATGGTCGATGGTGCTGAATCCTTTGCGGAACCCTGCTTGCTCGCATGGTTGTCCTTCATCTAGTGTTCTACCAATCCTATTCAGGATGACTCGAGTGAACAGCTTGTAGATGACAGACAATAGGCAGATGGGGCAATAGTTGCCAATGTCATGGATGTCTCCCTTCTTGAACAGTAGTACAGTCCTGCTGGTTTTCCATTGGGACGGAACCTTGCATTCAGACAGGTAGCAAGTGAAGAGCCGAGCCAGTGTATTGATGAGTACTGACGGCAGGTTCTTCAGGTGTTCAGGTCTGACCTTGTCTGGGCCGGGTGCTGTTTGTTTCTTTACCGACGAAATGGCGTGTCGGATTTCGGAAGGGAGAACGTTAGGAACGACATACCCATCCTGTGGAATTTGGTATGTCGGCAAGTGGACATGGCTATCGAAGAGATTTGAGTAGAAGTCATGGATAATCTTCTCCATTGCCGTTCTGGAGGATGTGATGGATCCATCAGGACGTCGGAGGGCAGTCATCTTGGTCTTATAGTTGGCGAAGGACAGGCGGGCGTTACGAATACTTTTCCCAGCTTCTGCCGCATCTACCAGTACTTCTGCTCTTCTCTCTTTGAGGTCTTCCTTGATATATACAGCGCCGTATAATCCCATCAACCGCCAAGACCCAGAGACTATAAAACCCAGCTCCTGGAAGAAACAGCGCAGAGTCTCCTGCCCCCGCGCCTGGCTGTCCTCGCCGGGGCCCCTTGGAGGGGAACGGGTTGAGTTTCCCTCCCCGCCCCGACCAGGGCTCCGGCAGCCGAAGACCTCCAGAACCAGCTACAACCATGCTGAGACCACTCTCCACACACATGAAGGTACCGGCAGAGGAACAAAGGCATGCGGGTCTCAGGGCTGAGATCTCCAAGCCTGCTCGAATAGGGGCTGATCATCCTCCACCCAGATCCTCCATTTTCCAGTAGGCGGGGGTCACACCCACCAACTGACCCCCAGCGCATCTTATTATCTCATTCTTGCTTTGGACAACCTGGCAGGCTACCGAATGTAACCTGCCCATACGGCAGAGTCTGGCAAACTCACCGTGGCGTATCCAACATACCAAATACCAATAACAATGATGGGTCTCATTCTCCTAACCCTGAAAGAGCCTTGAATATGGCACTTTTAAAATCTCAGGGCTAGGATGAAGGAGACGTTACTGATGCCTGCTCAAGGCAATCGACAAACAGCAGGATGATCGTGATCGTGATATTATGTATATATATGGGACCGGGTACAGCGGGTAGGGCATTTGCCTTGCACACGGCCGACCTGGGTTCAATTCCCGGCATCCCATATGGTCCCCCAGCACCGTCAGGAGTAATTCCTGAGTGCAGAGCCAGGAGGAAGGCTTGAGCATTGCTGGGTGTGACCCAAAAAGGAAAAAAAAAAAAAACACGTACCTATAAACTTAGTGCTCCTATAACAAAGTAGGTTCATATTTTTTTGACAGTTTGGAAATGGCAGCTTGAAATAATGTGATCTAAAGCACAGATAAATTATGAGTTTTGGTGCAAAGAAATAAAAACTCGATTTAGTTATTATTAATAGTTGAATTTTAGAGATGTGATATTCTAGCACCAGCCCCTCTACCAGTATCAACTTCCCTCCACCAGTTTTCCAAGTTCCCTCCCACCACCCTTCCCTGCCACCTTGACAGGCACTGTTTTTTTAAAGTTCGGTGGTTGTAGCTTGGATCTCGCGTTTTCAGCGCTGCTGACTCTGTGGTTTGGATATATAGCTACGCCACTCCCGGCATTATGAAGGCGACCCACGTTATAAAGACGTTTCAATAAAGTTCAAAGGGGCCCCCACATATAAACTTCTACTGAGCTAGGAGTGTCCTCCTGGTTTAGCAATACCTCACGCCAATGAAGCTGGTAGGAGAACGGTAATGAGGATATTAACTGATGGTTTGGAGCTGCTTGCTAAACCCAGGCACGTCAAAAGAAAAGATGAAATCAGGGGCTGGAGTGATAGCACAGCAGGTAGGGCATTTGCCTTGCACAGGGCCCGACCCGGGTTCGATTCCCAGCATCCCATATGGTCCCCCCAAGCACGGCTGGGAGTAATTCCTGAGTGCATGAACCAGGAGTAACCCCTGTGCATCGCTGGCTGTGACCCAAAAAGCAAAAAAATAAATTAAATATTTTTTTAAAAAAAGATGAAATCCTACAAAATTTTTAAAAAATAAAATAAAAAAATTAAAAAAAAAAAGATGAAATCATGCAGTTCCC